CCCACCTTGGGGTCACCTTCTGGGGAGGACCCCTTCCCCGGCCAGCTGTGGCCTGAGGTGGCCCCTGGCCTTGCAGGTTCTGCAGGGTTGCGTCTTTCCCAGCCTCAGAGCCGGCCAAGTGGAGACTCCCTTCTCACTGAGCTCTCGGGAGAGCCAGGCCACCAGTGACACGCTGGACACAGATGCCTCAACAGATGGCTCCTGCGGGTGTCAGGCCAGGCCACCATCTACCCTCTGTGTGGCTGCCTAGGCCGCACTGAGTCCTTTCTCTGTCCCATGCTGGGACAGTGCACTCCGAGTCAGCCCAGAACTGTGTGTCACTGTGAATCCCAGGCAGGGCTGTGTATGCTGCTGGCCAGTGCTGGCCGCCTGATGCCACTGCTCCTCTGGGGACGAGGGCCTGGTGGAGCAGACACACTTCCCACTTCCCTGAACACAAGCGCAGGTCAGGACGGGCACAGGGAGGAGGGCCCAGGCAGACCCCACCCCACACGCCCTGGCTGGCCTCCCTCCAGCCCCACAAGTACAGGCCTTCCGTGGGTGCTAGAATTACAGGCCGGTGTCACCATGTGCAGTGCTAAGCCTTTGTTAAGGAGCAGCAGGTGCTGGTGTGGCCCATGTGTCCAAGGGAGGAGGCCTGGCCTGGGAGCCCCTGACATACGGAGTTCTCAGTGTGACCCTCCCTCCCAGACCTCCAGAGCACCCCAATCCCCCAGCTGTCTGCCTGTTTTTCAATGATGGGACTGGAACCCAGGGCCTCAAAGAGTCTACCACTGGGTTACATCCCCAGCCCCTTCTAAAATTTTACTTTGAGACAGGGTCTTGCTAAATTGCCTAGACTGATTTTGAACTCATGATCCTCCTGCCTCAGCCTCCTGTGTAGTTGTGATTAGAGGTGTGTCGTGAGCCGCGACGTCAGGATCCTGACAGCAGGTCCTAAACCTGAAAGGATGACTACAGAGAGACAGGAGGTACCTTTCTTCTCATGTTCCTTGCTTTATTACAGAACCTCTTCCTTTTATACTCTCCAGCTGCATGGGAGCGAGGGCTGCACGGGAGCCGAGAGTACCGCCCACACATTCCAGAGGGAAACAATAACAACCATTATGGGTTACATCTGCTAGGCAATAGATGAGACCACCAGCTGAACTAGCCCATTGCTATAGCGACGGCACGTCCACACCGCTCAGGTGAATCACAGGTCAACATGGCTGCGCTCATGTCGTGTTCCTTTACAATGCTCTCCATAGAGGTGGTGTCACTGTGTCCAGCTCTGGTGGCCATGTCCTCCTGACACTGCAGGGAGAGGCACTCCACAACCCTACTGGCTTTCTGGGGGATGGGGAGGTGGCCCTGAGCAAGCTAGCATTGTCTTGGTCTTCTGGCCTCAAGGGGTTAAGGAGGAAGGAGAGCCAGATAGGGCCGAGGTTAGGGTTCGGTGCCCTCTGTGGAGACTCAGGCCACAGCCTTTCCCCTGCTCTCCTGAGAAGCAGCGGGCTGGCAGGGCAGGAGGAGACCAAGGTGAGCAGCCCTCGGGGCCTCTGAGGGAGCAGCTGGTGCCCAGCACTGCCCCCTGCCAGCCAGGACTTGCCCCTCCTGTGGCTGGGAGAGGATCTTGGAAGATGCCCAGAGCTGCCTGGGCAGAGCACAGAGGGGAGTTCTGCACAGCATGGCGGGGCCTGTGGGACAATACACAGGGGTCACAGGGTGCCCTCGGGAAGGATCCGGAGCAGGTGAGCTGAGGGCAGCCAGAGGACTGATGTGCCACCTCAGAAACTCAGGGACCCTGAGACAGGAAACTGACACCACTAACACAGCAGGGATGGACTGGATGGCCACTGCCCCAAGTTCCTCTGCCCGGGCTCCAGGGGCTTCCCTGAGGAGGGCAGGGAGTGCGTGGTCCTCCCCGCTGCTTGGTCTTAGATCATATTCCTAGAGTGATCTCTCTCTCTGGACTCTGTCGATGTTCCCCCAGGTCATTGTGAGAGTGACCTGTCCATGAAATGAAGCAGCCTGGGGACAGACAGCTGTGCCCACTGGACCGCCCCTTCCCTCACCACCTGCCTGGGGGCAAGAAGGTCTAAGACAGTGGTGGCGAACCCATGGATTGTCGCGAGCCGCAACGTCAGAATCCTGCCAGCAGGTCCCAAACCCGAGGGAAGAACAACAGGAGAGCAGTTTCACGAACTTAGTTCCAGGATCATGCTCTCTTCGTAGCAAGGCCCCGTTTATTTTTCAGGGTGGGGTATATATAGGCTAAAACCGAAACCAAAAGTGTAAACATTTATACTCTTCAACTGCACGGGAGCGAGGGCTGCACGAGAGTACCACCCACACATTCCAGAGGGAAACAATAACAACCATTATGGGTTACATCTGCTACCAGCTGAACTCACCCGTTGCTATGGGCAACACCGTGTCCGTGCCAGCGAGGTGACTCAAAGTTCAATCATGGCTAGGCCTATGTCAAGGCTCACCATGATGGCTCACCATAATGGATCACTCAGCAGTGGGCTGCAAAGCCCTCCCTGTCGGCACTTGAGCCCAGGTGCCCAGCAGCTGGGCATCGGATGTATATTCAGGTTTAATCACAGTGTTGGCGCTTTGTGATCAAGGAGTGGGTTCTGGGCTGCAGTGTGGGCACTTGGTCTCTGAAAGGTTTGGCTTTGAAAGGAAGGGCACTTTGTCTCTGAAAGGATGGCTAAGAGGTGGGGCATGGCATGGAGGCTGCAGGGAGGCTGGACAGAGGCCACGTGGGCTGGGCCAGGAGGGAGATGCCCAAGCCTCCCCAGAGCTCTGTGGAGGATGGGATACCATGGACGGAACCCGAAGAACATGAGGTGGGGCAGGGCTGCCTGAGAGCCTGGCCACACCTGGCTTGAGGGCCCCTGCTCACCAGATGGGGGTGCTTTTCCTGCGCTGCCCCTGGAGACGCACACTGCAGGGGTCTCGGGGCCCTGACCAGGGCCCTGTGATGAGCAGTAGTCCCCGTCCCCATGTACAAGGCTGGGCCGCAGCCAGCCCTTCAGCAGCCAGCAGGCAGGGTGCACTGTGACCCTGCAATAGCCCCTGGGCCCTCCGACCAACCCCATCTCTGCTGAGGGGGTCCCGGAGGAGACACGATACTGGGCATGCATGGCTGGGCCCCTGGCTTCCGTGCAGCCTGCTGGGGAGTGCGAGCTTGAAATGAAAACCTCAGAATCAAAAGGATGGGACTGGGGCCATTTAATTCTGTATACAACAAGGTCTACAGAAAGGACACCAGCTGGCCTGGCTTTGCCTCTGGTACTGCCCTGGGAGGGCACTGGAGAGGCTCATATAAACTGGGCAGGAACATGTCAATGGGTCACCTCACTGTGGCTACCTACACAAAGATTGCTCAGATGAGGCTGCCCTCGGCCAACCGCCTCCCTCACCATAGGGACACCTGGCAGTGTCACCTTCCTCCAGGCCCCAGAACCCTGCTCCAGCCTTGTCCATGGAGAAATTCAGTGCCTGTCACTGGTGGGGCAGCCTTTCCAGGAACCTCAGAGGCTCTGGCCAGCCCCAGAGGCCTGTCCCAACCCAACTGCTGCCCTCCCTGCTAGGCTGGGCCAGCTCGGGCCACCACTGAGCTAGGTGAAGCAGCCCAGAACCTATCAGGCACCAAGGCACTGGCCTGAGGGCAGCAGAGGCCGCAGGCCCTGGACACAGGGCTGTGATCATGGGAGGTGCAGGTGGCAGAGACCAGCCTGCCTGCTCCAACCATCACACTGGAAAGCCAGGAGGCCAAACCCAAGTACGACACTAGTGCAAGGAGGCCTGGGACGGCTGCCCTGGCTGATGACCTGAAGCGGCCAGCCCCGCAAGGTCAGCCCCCACCAGCACAGCTGGACCCCCCCTTCCAGAGCCACCAATGTAACCACTACCCCCACCCAGGGACCTGCCCAGGAGGGGTAGGGGTCAGTGAGTCCGGTGCTCCTGCCCCACCTGCCAGAAGGGCTCTGGCCACCTACCTGTACCAAAGCACTTCCCAGAGGAAGGATGGGGTGTGCTAGAACCAGGAGCAAGTTCAGGCTGCCCCAGATGGGAAGGGACAGCCAGAGCCATGGGGAGCAAGGAGCCCTCGGCTCTGACCTCACCCCGGGCCTAGGGAATGCTCCGTGTTTTATAAGCCCAATGCAGCTCCAGGGCCACACGATGCCTGGACCCTGGCCCTGAAGACCCAGGGGGCTGTGGAACCGAGATAACAGCCTGCTCCAGTGTCAGGCACAGGCTTCAGGGATGTGTGGCCACGCGCCATGCTGGGTGGCCAGAGGTGGGGTGTTCCAGCCATTCCTTCCAAGCAGCCAGGGTCAGGGTGATGGGGAGTCCAAGCTCCCCAGGATATTTCTGGGGCTCCCCCTGCACTCAGCATGTGGCCAGCTCCTATCCTAGGGAATGGGCCCAAATCCAGGCCAACACCCCAGGAGCCGACTGTGGGGCCAGCGCAACTGCAGGGAGCTGGCTGACAGATGCACCCAGCCCAGGGCCAGTCCTCACTGCTGCTTTAACGTGAAAGGCAGGGACAGTGCCAGGACAAGAATGGCCACCGGACAGAGCCGTGCCAAGCATGTGGGGGCAGGGGCCCGACAGCCCTCTCAGTGGGAACATACTGGGAGTTGCACTGGTGGGGCTCCAGGAGGGACAGGCAGAGCCCAGCATGATGAGATGTTGGCACCGGGGCTGTTGTCAGGTGCAGAAGCAGAGCCCTGAGTGACGACAGTCCTCCATCTCCACCCCAACCCTGGGAGGAGCCTTCTCCACGCAGCAGCGGGTCTGATCTAGCATCTGGGTAGTGCTGCTGACCCCACATGCTCACGTCCATGGGCTGGGCGGTTTCTCCCTGTGGACCAGGCCACAGTGGACGCCCCTGCTATCTGTTGGCCAATGGGAACCTCTCCGCAGGCCTGGTATGGCTCCCCTGGGAAGCAGGGCCTGCTGCCCATGGAGAGCAGTGCACAGAGCAGGTACACACGCCAGTGAGATGAAAAGCTGCTCCTTTCATTTACTCACAGATGAAAGATTAAAACACCAGCAAATTACAATTCGTGGTAATTCATAAGGCACTCTGTGCGATGGGAACATGAGCTGGAGGGAGGGGACAAGGCATGCTCTGCGTGGTCCAGGCCTCGGTGTGGCTGCTCCCCCACGAGGGTGGCGTGGGAGGGACCTGGCCCTGGCTACGTGAAGGCGGGGTCCTCGATGCCATGGTCTGGGTTGCAGGTAAAGGCAATGGTGATGGCGTAGCGGGTGCCCCAACGGACCTTCTCCACCCGGTGCAGGTTCTCAGACCCTGAGGTGAAGAAGGAAACCCGACCTGGAGAGGAAGGGAGACAGAGATGCAACCCGAGAGTCTCCATGCATGCCACCGGGGCCCTCAGAGAGCGTGGTGGCTGTCACCAGGCAGTGTCAGCAGGGGACAGCACCAGGGCAGCAACAGCAAGGGGTAGGCTGGAGGGACCTATGCTCCGGAACTGCTGCCACAGGAAGCCAGAAGCCCAAGGGACAGTCCCACGGCACCAGGACAGATCGGCCCTGGATGCACGGGCAGACGGCATTCTAGTTCTCTCCTGCCCAGGAGAGAGGAGCAGAGGAGGTAGCCACAGGCGTGGGGACAATGCCCTTCACTCCTCACGGCCTTCCAGATCCAGCTGTGAGTATCTGGTTTCTCATCACAGATCATCAGGAATAAAAGCCAGCCATGGAGGATGATGGCAACATTCTAACAGTCCAGAAAGGTCAGGCAAGCCAAACCCACACACACACACACTGGCCAGGCCCCAACAAGTGGAGCAAAAATATACAGCTGGAAAGGCCCCTCCTGGACGGCAACTGCCCTGGGGGTGGGAGTCCTTCCAAACAGACCTCCATCTAAGGATCCCATCCATTCACTCTCATGTCTAAATTACCCTGCCACACCTAACTAGGTAAGTGCTTGCTGCTGAGTACTCCAATCAGCCATTTCACGAGTGAAGTCCCACCCCAGCCACATGGCCGGGCTCCAAATGTTCAGGACAATTCCATTTCCCTACAAAGGCTAGTGCTGGAAACTCCCTTTTCCCCTTTTACTTTACTCTTTTTTGTTTTGTTTTGTTTTCTGGTACTGGGGATTGAACTCAGGACCTTGAGCTTGCAAGGCAGGGGGCGGCACCACTGAGCTAAATTCCCGGTCCTTGTTTTCCCCTTTTATGTCTGTAATTTAACTGCACATCTCTGCAAAGGGAGAACAGTCAATACCAAAGTGTACCGCATCCCAGGGGTCAGCAGTTGAGTTTGGCCCAGAAGTAGCAGAGCAAGAGAAATCCCGTGCTGCAGCAGCAGACCCTGGTGAGCAGAGACCCTGCTGCTTCCACTTGGGCATGGCAGGCCCACTCTGGACACAAAGGAAGCACTTTCCACGGCAACCTGGAGCCAGGATTCTTTCTGAGCTTGTGTTTTCCAAGGCCATTTTGTGCTTAGTTTCTTCCAGTTTCAATCTAACCCGAGATGTGGGAACGAGCACCGCAGGCTTCGGCACAATAGGGCCCAAAGGCCCAGGGTGTGTGGGTCCCCCGGCCCCCAGGCCTCCCTGTCTGTGCTCCCCACCACAGAGAGTTGTGCTCCTTGCCATCTGTCAGCGTTCAGTAAGAGCAGGGTCTCTACCAAGCCTGCAGTGCTTCTGCCCATCTTGCAGAGGCTCCAAAACCAGAGGAGAAAAGATCAGAGGACATCAAGGTCTCCTGGGCTACAGGACAACAGGAAACCACCAGTCCCATCACTGGAGCCTTTGATGGGAGAGATGAGCCTGGGGCAGAAAAAGACTTTTTAACCAAAATGAAAAGCTGACCTTCACATCCAATGAGATGAGCAAACTCCACGCAGGGTAAACAAGCACAAACCCACCTTAGCACATCATATGAAAGACGGCAGGAATCCTCTCAATCGGCAGAGAAAGCGAGAGCACACCTGAGGAGCGGGAAAGACAGTGGCATCTTTCCGGAAACATCAGAAGCAGGGATCAAGCAATGGCCTCTTCAATGCCCAGAGGAAAAGTCCATCAACACAGAGCTCAGTTCTCAGTGAAATGATCTCTATAAAAAGGCAAGGGCCAGCGGGTGTGGCTGAGGCGCAGGGCTTGCCTGCCATGGGTGAGACCAAGGGTTCTATCCCCAGCAGCATCACCAAAAATAAACAAAAAAAGAAGTAAAATAAGGACATGTTTAAAAAAGTCCTTGCCAGCCCTACAGGAAACAGCCACTAACGGTGGCGGGAGGGAAGTGGCGCCTGCTGGACACCCTGACCCGAGGGCGGAACGGAGAACACAGAAAGGAGATGTGCAAACCTGTCAAACGCTGTGCACCGTAAGAGAACAGAAACCGTCTTCAGAAAATGGTAAGATACCAGAAAAAGGTAAAGTTTATCACATACTGAAATAGTCAAGTGCAGCAAAACGAAACCCAAAGATTGAGGAGCAGATAAAAGGAATCCTGCTGCTCTGAAGTAGGCGGTGGGCATTCCACTGCAACGCTGCACAGCCCAGAACAAAATCGCCACAGGGTTTCACAGAAATCAGCAAGCTAACGTTCACACAGAAATGAAGCAAACATATCTTAGCAGCCAAACAGCTTTTCATAAGGCAACAGCAACTGAGACGCCACAGTATTCACAGAGGGACACTGATCGTGGGGACAGAAACCAACATGCAGAGCGGCAAGAACGCACTTACAGTCTTAGGGGTTTTCTTTGGGCGGAGGTTGTTTTTATTTTTGGTTTTGAGACAAGGTTTTGCTATGTAGTTCAGGCCAGTCTTGAACTTACTATGTAGCCCAGGCTGGCCTCAAACTTGTAATAATCCTCCTGCCTCAGCCTCCCAAGTGCTGAGATCACAGGCACAAGTCACCATATCCAGCTTGGTCCGGGGCGGGAGAGGGTTGTTGGTTTGATTTTTGGTACTGGGAATCAACTTGGGACCGTGCACTTGCGAGGCAGGTTGTGGAACCACTGAGCTAAATCCCCAGCCCAGTCCTCAGGTTTTGTGACAGACATCCAGACCGACTTGATGGGTTCAGGCAGTTTTTCCAACAAATGATGTTGAAACCCTGGCATTCTGCACACAAAGAGAGAATGCTGACCCTCACTTCAACCACACATCAGCATTATTTTGAAATGGACTGACGACATAAACAGAAAATCCAAAACCATAAAGTTTCCAGAAATTTATGTAGGAGAAAAATCTCTACACTCTTAGGGTGTTCAAAGTTTATTCGGCATTATCCAAAAGCACGTACCACAAAAGAAAAAGGTCAGTAAGCCGGGCGTGGTGGCACACACCTGTAATCCCAGCACTTGGGAGGCTGAGGTAGGAGTGAGTTCGAGACCAGCCTGGGCTACATAGTGAGTTCCAGGTCAGTCTCAACTACACAGTGAGACCCTGTCTTACAAAAACAAAAACAAAAACAAAAAAAGAAAGAAAGAAAGAAAATGGTCAGTGAGCAAGATCTCACTCAGAGTTATTCCCTTCAAAAGATACAATTAAGGGCTGGGGATTTAGCTCAGGACCCAAGTTCGATCCCCTGGCACCCCCCCAAAAAAAAACCCATAAGAAATGGAAGCCCAGCCATACACTGAGAGAATATATTGACAAAATATACACCCACCGCCTGCTGCCGACGGCCCTCCCTCAGGTCTGCCATCTCCCGCTGACCCGCCCTCCTCGCGAGCCCTCATGCCAGCTGCTGTACTGTACTATAAAAGTGACTGTAGAAGTAAACATTGTTTGTGTATTTGGGTTTTTAATGCATTACATTGAATATTAGTGTCAAAGTTGTATAAGACTCACTTTGTCGGATTTATGAACAAATCCCACTTATGAGTGTTCTCCGAGAACTGAACTCATTTGTAAGCCAGGGACTTAATGTACACCTCTTAAGAGGCTAAAATTTAAAAGGAGACCACGCCAACTGCCGAAGAAGAGGCAGGGTGATCAGAGCAGTGTGACAGCTTCCTATAAAGTCGCACAAAAGTGACTCGGCCGCTCCACTGGTGGGACTTAAGACAGAAAAATGAACATTTATGTCCTGTGTTGATCAGCTACTCATGCCTGTAACCAAGTACCTGAGAGAAATCAACTTAAAGAAGAAAGGTTAGTTTGGACTCACAGTTTCAGAGGTCTCAGTCCATGGTCACGGGTGCATTGTCTCTGAGCCTTGCCGAGGCAGAGCATCACAACAGAAGGGTAAATGGAGCAGGGCCTCGTGATGGCCAGAAAGACACCCCAGAGAGGAAGGGGTGGGGACAAGATGGAGTCTCCAAGGTTATGCCCCCAAGGTCACCCCCTTCTTCTAGGCCCCACCTCCTGTGTCTGTCGGCGCCCCATAACTGCACCCAATTATATCTCATCAATGCACTGCTCACTGATGAAGTCAGAGCCCTCATGATCCCATCATCTTCTGGAAGCACCAGCTGGTGACCACACCTTCAGCACATGCCCTGTGAGGGACATTTTAGATCTAGACGATTACATGTCTGAAGACCTGGAGACAATTCTGCACAGAAAAGGACCTGCGTGGTAGAGACCAGGCATGACAGAACTGTGCATCAGGAAGGCAAGACCTTCTGTCTCTTGGGTCCTCAGTTCCCCAAGCACAGGACTCCACCCCTTCCCTACCAAGTTTTTCTACAAAGAAACCTGGCTTTTGCCTCTCATAGTAAGCACTGCGGATCCACTGATCTGTGTGACCCCACTCGAGGTCTCACGAAGCAGTTATATAATGTCACCTATATAAGACTGCAGGTGAAGAAGACAGACAGAGCCAGACAGACACACAGGCAGGAGACACGGAGTGCTCATTACCTGAGAGGACATTAGGATATAAAATGCTGTGCTGATGTGTTTATCATGCTTAAAAGCAAAATATGCTGAAGGCTTCCCGCTCTCAGGCCTGGAAATGCCTCATCCAGTTCCTCTCTAGAAAGCATCTGCCCTCATGCGTGTGAGCTCTGAATCTTCCCAGCAAAGTGCCATGGCTGGCCGGGGTGGGGATGGGCTGGCTGCCCTTCTCCTTGCAGCAGCCACACGCTCACCTGGCCAAGCTGATAACCAAGGCAAGCGAGGCCAGGCCATGCCCAGACTGGCTGTCCCTGAGGACCACACCGGAGTGGAGGCTGACACCAGGGGCCACAGCCACAGGCACCAGGTCTAAGAGCCAGCTCAGGCCTGAGCTGCCACGGAGATGCCAAGGTGCCGGGTAAGAGCCGGGCTACTGTGGGGAGTGGGACAGCCGGGGACAGCTCTGGCTGCCCACTTTGGAGCAGAGGCAAGGGCAGGGAGAGGTAGCAGACAAGAACTGGGATGGTGGGTACAGAGAAGAGCCCCTCCCACACACCTGCAGCTAAAATGCAAACTAACACGTAAGGCACAAGTCACAGGGGTCCCACCAACACACAGATCTTCAGGACTCTTTCAGCAACACACTGGGACCTTAAGAGAGATTTAAAGTCCCTGTCACAACCAATCAAGGAACAGAGCTAGGCATGGTAGCACATAACTAATCCCAGCACTCTCGGAGGCTGAGGCAGGAAAATCAAGTCAAGCCCAGCCTGGGCAACTTAGTGACATAGCAAAACTAAAAAAAGAGAACTGAGGATGTAGCTCAGTAAAAGGCCCTGGTTCAATCCTTGGTACTTTGAAAGCAAACAAATAAAAATGAGCAGGGGCTCCCAGCCCTCCCAGGACATGCAAACACAGTGTACGGCCTGCCCACCCCTCAGCCCAGGGGCTCCCGCCGTGGCCCCTAAACTAGGGTCAAAGGGGTGTGTGTTCCTCACCCTCCCTGACATGTCCTGTCGCCTTGGGTTCACCTCCACTCAGAACTGGCATCGGCCATCAGGGCATGGATGATGAGCTGGGGGTGGGTGACCCTTCAGGGATCCACAGTCGGTTTCACAATCCCAGCTGCCCAGTGCCAAGGTCAGGGGACACAGCACTGTGGAGGAGGCCACGGAGTCCTCACACCGCGCCTCGGAGACCAGAGCTGCATCTGCCCGGACCTGGAGTGGGATGGTGGCTTTCAGTGACGGTCTGAGGACAGAGATGGGGTGTTCTACAAGTCACACCTCAGGGCCGGGGATGGAGCTCAGGGGTGCTGTGCCTGCCTGGCAAGTGCAAGGTTCTGAGTTCAATACGCAGTACAAAAAAACAAAACAAAACATAAAAATAATAAAAGTCACACCCAGGCCTGGTCATCAGGACTCTTGCTGCTTCCCGGCCAAACCATTGAAAGCAGGTGGTCACAGCCAACCTTCCTCTTCCTTAGCAACTGCAGGGGTCACTGCCTGCTGTGACGGTGCCTGTCCTGCAGGTCCGGCGGCCCCTCTGCACAGCCATCGCGAGCCTGAAGTGTCCCGTCCCTCCTCAAGCCCAAGTCACCCAGGAATTCCACTCAGTACACAGCTGCTATCTAAAACGTCCCCAAAGGCACATGGGCTAGACAGCCTGGCTGCTCACCCATGGGCTTCAGGAACTGAGGGAGCACAAGGGCTGCACTGATGAGGCCTCCACTTGATGGAGGCAGGAGGTGCGGCCCAACACAGGCGTGGGTGCTGGGATGATGCGGGGACGACATCTGCTCTTGGCTGGCTCTTCTCCCTCTCAGCCTTTTCCACCGCTTTCTCCCACTGCCTAGTATTCTAGAGCGAGCTGACCACAGACTCAAACCTCTGAAGCCAGGAGCCAAAGCATGCCTCTCCCATACGTTGTCCTTCTCAGGGTTTAGTCAGGGACAGAAAGCTGAGTGCACACTGACAAGCACCTGTGGATTTCACAGCTAGCCTGCTTTGCCCTGCAGAGGGCAGCAGTGAGAAGCACCGCTCATCTTCTCCAGTGGGGTGAGGCAAGCGGCTCCCCCACTGGGCGTAGCATTCAGTGCGAGGAATCCACATGACCTCCAAGGCAGGCAGCCCAGACAGCAGGAGCAGGGAGACGGTGCTGACCCATGCACTTGGGACCCTGCCAGCCTGGGCCCAGGCAGCACTGCAGTGCCTGAGGGAGGGCAGCAGCGGCACAAGATGACAGCCTGGAGCCTCCAGCCAGTAACAGGCGGGAGACGCACGCCGAGGAGGGCAGCGGCCCACAGAGGAGACTGCCCGACACCAGGACCGGCACCCTGGTCGTGGACGTGGCCCCCAGCGTGAGCTGGCCCATCACAGCCCCGGGACCTCGAGGCCCACTGTGCCAACCTCAGGTCAGAAGCTTCCATCCGTCTCTGGTTTGTGTGGTGCGAGGTGAGCGCTCTGCCACCGCCCAGCAGGTGCCCTTCAGCAGACAGGATGGGAGCGGGCGGGACTGGCAGCTGGGCGGTGCTGCTGCAGACCCACTGCAGCCGCCAGGGAGCGACAGAGACCCACCTCGGGGTCGGGACCACAGCTGGGCCCCCGAGCCCGACACAGAACACACACGTGTGCATGGGCTGTGCCTGTGTCCCCCACGCTTTGCGCCCCACCTGCTCTGGGCTCCACCGTCCTGTTGGCACCTTCCTCCAGGAATACGAAGCGCCCTCCACCGAAGTCCTCCTGGTAGTCAGACAGGTACAGCAGTGAGGTGTAGTCAAAGGAGCCATAGGTCACCTGCGAGGTGGAGCCAGGGGCAGTCAAGCGGGTGACGCCGGGCCGGCCTCAGGGACTGCTGGGCCCTTCCCGCCCCCCCCGCCTGGCACCTTCTGTGCATCTGTGGGGGGCGGCAGAGAGGGTGGCACAGGGCTGCCTCCTGCCAGATGTGGGGCATTCCCAGACTTTTTCACTTGCACTATTGGGGATGGAGCCCAGGGCCTTCACAATGAGAGACACCCCCAGCTCTTTCTTTATTCTTTATTTTGAGACAGGTTTTCACTAAGCCCCTAAATTGCCTAGGTTCAGCTCAAACTTGCAATTCTCCTGCCTCAGCCTCCCAGAGTGCTAGCATTACAGGCACCCCCACCACAGCTGGCTTATATTACATGTGTATTCAAAACAGTGAAATTTAAAACAAACTACACCATCTAGAAGTCACAGCAAAACAGCTCCAAAAGGACAAGAGCTCACTAGGTTTCAAGTAGCTGTTTCACTGAAGCAAATATCTGTGTTAGAAGACACAACCAACTGGGTACAGCGGTCACATCCGTAATCCCAGTCACTCACTCAGGAGGCTGAGGCAGGAAGAACCCAAGTGTGAGGCCAGCCCAGGGAACTTGGTGAGACCTGCCTCAGAATTTGGGTAGGGGGAGGCTGAGGCAGGAGGATCGCTGTGAGTTCGAGGCCAGCCTGGGCTACACAGTGAGTTCCAGGGCAGTCTGCACTACATAGTGAGACTCTGTCTCAAAACAGCAATAACAACAAAAGAATTTGGGTAGGGGCCGCTAAACATGGATGTAGCTTAGTGCAAAGGCCCTGGGTCCAATGGAAGGAAGGGAGGGAGGGAGGGAGGGAGGGAGGAGAGAAGGAGGAAGGAAGGGAGGGTGGGCAGAGGTGTCTTGGCTCCCGATAGTCAGAACTCAGTCAAGGTACCAGCCGGGGCAGAAGGGGCCCAGGAGGGAGCTGCCTCCTGCCCTGTGGGAGGAGCACCGCTGAGTGCACAGGGAGGGCTGGAGTGCAGACATCCTACCGTCAGCCTGCGGAGACCGGGAGGGGCGCCTGCTTCCAGAGAGGACCTGGACGGGGCTGTGCCAGGCACCCAAAGCCTGGCCTCAGGACCACTTATCTCCCTCTTCTGTGCTCCTGGCACTTTTCCCAAAGGACCTCAAGTCGCTTGGAATTTACCACTGTACAGACGGCCAAGAAATGGGGCTCTGGGAGGAAAGACAGGAGGGGTCTGTGGGGCCAGGTGGGGTACGGCTGGTCCCGGAGAGGAGCTGGAAAGGGGTCCCCAAGTGTGCACACAGAACGCAGGGCCTCTGGCTCACTCTTGGAAGACACTGTATAACCAGAGTGAAGCCACAGAGACCTCAGCACAGCCCAGCTGCCACCCACAGGGCAGCCAAGGCCCTGGACAGAAGTGATGCAGGAGCCTCCACAGGACAGCGAGGCAGCCTGAGGCCTGGCCCTGAGCAGAGGAGGACAGAGGACGACATGGGAGCCCAGCCTCACCACACTCAAAATGCCCAGGATCCAGTTCAATGGCTCAGTGGACAATGAACTCAGTAAGCATGGTCAGCTTTCCAGGAAAAGGGCAGTCAGTAGATGCCAGCCTCGAGGTGACCCAGATGTTGGGATCACCAGACAAACTGCCCATCTCCACCTGCTAACTGGAGCATTTAATCCACATTTAGTTTTGTTTTTGTTTTTTTTAGACAGGGTCTCGCTATGTAGCCCAGGCTGGCCTCAACCTCACAGTGATCCTCCTGCCTCAGCCTCCCAAGTGCTAGGATTATGGGCATGCAGCACCATGCCTAGTTATTAAACACCCATTTAATACTGACAAATGCGGATTTGTACCTCACACCTCCCATTTTGCTATTTGCTTTCTGTATGTCCTCCCCTCTCCTCATACTACTTTGCATCCAAGCCATTTTTATCTTTTTTGTTTTTTTTGGTACCAGGATCTAACTTAGGACCTTGCTCTCTTTTTATCAATTTTGAGACAGGATTTTCCTAAGTCACTAAGCTGCTCAGCGTGAGTTCAAATTTTTAATCCCCCTGCCTCAGCCTCCCACAGTGCTTTGATTACAAATGTGCTCTTCTTCCTCCATTCACCTGCTATCATCTTTTTTGTATTACACATTCTTTAGTGCACTATTTTAAATGCTTGTGGCTTGTTTGCTTGTTTTCCTTATTTTTAGGAGAGATGTTAATAACATGTCAATCTATAACAATATAATGTCATCTGTCATTATATAACAATTAGCTTTATGTCACGGCTATATAAGCGCTTGCCCTCCCCACATTTCGCCCTTTCCCTTCTCTTGCTGAAACCGTCACGTAAGTCCCAGCAGCACCCACAGCGTCAACGCAGACACAGCTACCGCCTTACGCTATTGTCCTTCACTCAGAAAAGTAACTTAAAAACAAAAAGACCTTTTACACCCTGCACGCTTCCTTTGCTCAGGTGTGCACCTCGCAAGGCCCTGTTTCTGTGGCCCCAGAGACCCTTGTGAGGATCCTCAACGGTCAGGCTTGCCAGTGAGGAATGCTCCGTTTTATTGTGCTTGCCTTCATTCAGAAAATATTGTCAGGGCCGGGGATGCAGCTCTGTGGCGCAGTGTCTGCCTGGCAGGCTTGAGGTCCTGAGTTCAATCCCCAGTACCGGGAAAAAAATTTTTAAATAAAAAATATTCTTAAAAGTTTAGGTATAATTCATATTTGACAAAATTTACCATTTTAAAATGTGTGATTTAGAGAGCAGTCATCACAACGGTCAGTTGTCTTCAACGGTCAGAACGTCTTCATCACCCAGAAGGAAGCCCACACGGGTAAGCAGTCCCTCCCTGGCCATCCCATTGCCCTGTAAAGCACAAACCCATTTCTCACCCTGCGTGGCATCTTGTGTCTGGTTCTATTCACTGCAGATAGTGTTTCCAATGTTCATTATGTTGTAACATGTATTAGCAATGCATTACTATTTAGAGAAATATGTAAGTTTCAGTTGAAAACTAGAATTTCATTTATTTATTTTCCAGTACTGGGAATTGAACCCAGGGCATTCACAGTGAGCTACATCTACAGTTTATTTTATTTTATTTTGGTACCAGAGATCAAACTCAGGGCCTTACTCTTGCCAGGCGGGCGTTAAGTCTGTGGCCTATTTTCTATTTTGAGACAGGATCTCACTAAGTTCCCCAGGCTGGGCTCGAACTTGCAATCCTCCTGTCTCATCCTCTGAGAGTGCTGGGATGACAGGCATGTACCACCATGATCTGCTAGAAAACTAGAATTTTAATAAAGTGGTAGCCCTAGAAATAAGATTCCCCCTTCCCCAGGATTTGCTGCTGCTGTTGCTATCTGCCTGTTTCACAGTCTTCTGAACTAGTGCGGAGGGGCCTGTGTTCTCTGTGTGAACAGGGCGGCCACAGGACACTCTGCCAGCAGCCGCAGGTGCCCAAGGCCACAGGGGAGCTGTGCGAGGTGTTAACCAGGGTCCTTGATGAGCAGCCGGTCTCCGAGTGCATGTTCCCCAAGAAGCTGCAGCCCCAGCTGGCCTCTGGGGTTGACACCGAGCATTCCAGCGGTCTCTGGTGCCTATGGCAGGGAGACCAGAGAGGCTCCTGGTCCAGGACCCGTTGGACTTCCTGGACAAAGACCAAAGCAGCAGCAGGAGCTGCTGTGAAAGGACAGGAAAAATAACTGAACAGGATAACTGGGCACGACGGTGCACTCCTGTGATCCTGGCCCTCAGGAGGCTGAGGCAGGAGGATTATGAGTTTGAGGCCAGCCTCAGATACACAGGAAGACTATTTGCAAAAACAGAGTCAGGGAGAGGTGTGTGTGGGAGGTCCGTGTGCTCTAAGACAACGTGTAGTGGTGCGTAGGGCAGCAGGAAGGTCTGGGCTCGGAGGACCTCAGCCGGAGCCCACAGTGAGCTGAAGTCAGAACAGGAATGATGACTCTGAGCATCTCCCAGAGCCACAGATGCTGCGGATGACAGAAGCCGGGAAGGAGTGGTCCTCAGTGACAAGCCCAAGGTTTGGTTAAAACCAAACTGAGATGCGGCAGAGGAGCCAAGGGTCTGTGCCTCCCTTGAGAAGGCGCTTCCAGGAGTGTCACGGAAGACCACTTGCACAGACCAAGGTCGCATTAATAAAATAAACGGGAGGCAGGCTGCCCTTCACAAAAAGACAGTGACAGTCAGAGTACGTGAATTTTAACCTCCGAGTGACATCCTTGCCTGGAGAATCGATCCATCAGCAAGTCTGGGGCAGGTAACACAGCGGGGCTGGCTGGGCCCCCAGGCCTGGGGCCCGGGCTCAGAGATTTAGACTCAGGCTCCCAGGGCCACCGTGCCCGGCTGCAGTACACACCCACTCCGTGACATGACACACCCGCAGCGGCACCCCCACCTGTCCCATGACAGCAGGGGCAGCAGCCTGCTGAGGGATCCACACTGGGGCAGCCTCAGGGGTGCGCCTCCCACAGCTGGGTCCTGGACTTCATGGCCGCTGGGCACTGTCTGGAGTCCTGGCCTGACCCCAGCACCTGAGGGCCCCACGTGGCAGAGTAAGCCCTGCTCACCCCCTGTGTAGACTCCCTGACGGCCTCAGCAGTGACCCCAAGTCTGGCAAAACCTAACAAAGCCACCTCACACAGAAGACCAGGGGAGGAAGTGGCCTGAGGAAGCAGGACCCAGGATCCAGACTCCATTCATCCCAAGCCCTCACTCTGCCTACCCACCCCGGATACCACAAAGGACCCCCAAAACCACTGACAACCTGTCAGTGTCCTGCGCAAGGCGCCTAGGCCACAGCACAGGGCAGGAGGACACCCTTCCCGCACAGCCCCGGGACACCCTGCAGCTCACAGCTCAGATGGGAATAGCTTCATAGAGGATCAAGGTCAGGGACTGTGTACGGCAGCCTGGGGGCACTGAGGACTCTTGCCAGGGTCTGAACAGAGCTGGCCTCAGGCAGGGGGCAAAGGAAAGGCAAGAATAGCCCAGCAGGGTCGCACATATCGAGGGCTTATGGTCTCAACACTCGAGAGGCTAGGGCATTCCAAGGCCTGTCATAAAGGTGCGAGATCCCAATAATGAATGTAATTATACTGTATACCTAAAATGGACCGATAAACTCAAGAAAAAAAAAAAAAGAGGCTCGGGCAGGAGGATCCTAAGTTCAAGTTCAAAGCCAGCCTGGGCTACATAGGGAGACCTGTCACAGAGAAAGGAAGGGGAGAGAAGAGGGGAGAGGAAGGGAGGGAGAGAAGTGGGAGGAGGGAGGAGAGCGGGCAGACCTCTTGGGAGCCAGAGCCAGTCCTGGGCCAGCAAGTCACGAACCGTCCCCTGCACTTGTGCAGCCCGAGGTCACACATCAGTCTGCCAACGTGGCTGCAAGGTCGGGGAGCAGTGGGGCTGACGCCATCTGACAAGGGCACCTGGCTGCCTGGTCTTACTGACTGAGAAATGAATTTCCTTTTCTCACTGCATCAGCTGGGGCCAGGGTGCACCTGAAACCCAGAAAGGGAGACCAAAATGCCCACCAGGCCCAGGCCAGAGCAGAGGCCGGCACAGCCAGGCGAGGGGCGAGCACTCACCTTGTCCACGTGTGCGTGCCAGTACTCGTCGTGGGCCGTGAGCGCCTCCGAGCTGTTGATGCGCGAGAAGAACGTGGGCTTCGTCAGGCTCAGCGCAGAGGCGCGGATGCCAAAGGCCTCGGCGATGGTGAGCTGCACCTTCCGCCGCACGTCCCTGTGGAGGGCACAGAGGTTACTCGGGAGCCAGCCGGCCTGCAGGCAGGGTGCCCTGCTGGTCCCCAGGGCCCGCACACCAGCAGGCAGAAGGGCGGTCACCGGGTACACACATCCCCAGCAGGAAACTGGGAACCGAGGGCCAGGGAGTGGCCATGGCAGCCGCCGCCTTTCCCAGGGCAGCGCCAGCACGCGCTCTGCCCGGCGGGAGGAGGTGGTGCCCTTGGGGATGGTGGCCTTACTGCACAGACTCGGGTCTGGGGCATCCAGGCCACCTCAGACCACCGCCGCCCTGAGTAACTCAGCAGAGCCTTGCCTCCGGCCCTGGGAGCGCCGGGCAGCAGGGCTGGACACACTGACCCCGACCCCTGCAATGTCTGCACACGTCCTCCACATCTACCTGCAGGTGCACACGGGCACGCACACACCGAGCTACCTGGACACTCGCTCACATACATAACTTCCCACCTGCGTACCCTCTACATACGTTATATGAACCTGTATGAACACCACGCGTACTCATGTGCACACACAAATAACGCTCTGTGCATGCATAGCTGCACATGCCATGCCAGCCCATGTGCCCACCACACACACTGACCCACACGCCTTCCTGTGTGCGTGCACACCCAGGTACACGCAGATGCACACTGAGCCAGCCCTGACACACTGCCCAGTGACCTCCTGTGGGCCCAGCTGTTCCCGCGAGCCAAGAACACTTCCAAACCCCCCTCGCTCCCTCCACATAGGCATCACGGGCAGCATGGCGCGGCTATGCAGACAAGGCTCGCTCGGGGCGGTGTCTGGCCATAGCGGTGGCTCCTTTGACCCTTTGTGGGGACAACATCCAGTGAGCTTCTACTGAGGCCACAGCTGCATCCAAAACATTCACCCTTCAGTAGGGCACGATGTGTGTGTTCAATATCTCTGTGATTGACAGAAGCATGGGAATTACGTATGGAGACCTCATGTATTTTGTTGGTTTGTTTCTCCTGATTGTTGTTCACCTTCAAATTCTAAAGCTTTGCAAATGGCACTGAGCAGTTTTTGGAGTTCAGCACATTGAAGGAACTGAAAAGTTGAAATGGTCTTCCACTTGGTCATCCAATGACTTTCACATGATCCACTGGGCAATCTGATGGCTGTACTTCATTTGCTCCAAACAGCAGATCATTTTTGTTGTTTTGTGACACAGAGTCTATGTGGTTCAGGCTGGCTTAGAACTCTCAGCAATCCTCCTACCTCAGCCTCCCAAGTCCTGGGACCACCGGTGTGTGCCATCTTGCCCACTTTAGATCATTTTCTTTGTTTTTTTTCAGTACTGAGGATTGAACTAAGGGTCCCATGCACACTCAGCAAGCACTCTACCACTGAGCTACATCCCTAACCCTTTTCATTTTGTTCTGAGACAGGGTCTCACTGAGTTGCCCAAGCTAAGCTCAAGCTTGTGCTCCTCAGCCTCCTGACACCTGGGATACAGGTATGTGCCTCTCACCTGGCTCATTTTCCACTTCTATAACAGCCTCTTGTCTTTTGTTGTCAGATCCTTCCTCTTCCTTTTTTGGAGGGGGGGTACCAAGGATGGAACTCAGGACCTTGTGATTGTGAGGCACGCATTGGAATCACCGAGCTAAATTCCTGGTCCCCTCCCCTTTTACTTCTATAAGTGTCATAACCCGATAACCTGTCAAACAGAAGCCAACTTAACAGTCTGTCCCAAAGCCCCCGTTCCTCAGTGCCTGTTATGAGGTACCCAAATGACCCTCTGCCCGTCACCTCTGCAGTTTCTGTTTGTGGGGATTATATGTCCTCTGCACCTGACAATGCGGAGGACACCTTCCCCACGCTGTCCATCCCCAGCTGGCCGCAGGGCTTCCCGCCGGGCTCACTGCACAGCAGCCCCAGGACTGCAGGAGCTGTGCACTGAGATGCTCCTCCTTGACATGAGGCCCGCAGAGTGGGGACTTCTGTGGTTGCTCCCGGCTCCATGAGATCAACACTGCGTGAACAGCTGAAATCCTACGAGGGCCAGGGAGTTCACTGGCCACCGGCTCACCTGACCCCCCACCGTCTCTTCCGTTTCTCTGTTCTGTAGCTGTGGAAGCCAAAGGGGGATTTCCTGACATTCTGCGTTGGAAATATTATTCTCACATCTAAAAATAGTTGCTTTTAACTATAGCTCTGTATGTTCCCATTTGTCTTACAAATACTGATATTTTGGGAGCTTTAATTAGTTCAAATTTTTGTGAGAGAGGGACTGGTAACATCCTTTCCTTTTTTCTCCTCCATAATTACAAATCTTCATCCGAATCCCAGTCTTAACAGATGGCCTTGGACAACCTGATGTAGCCAGTGCTTATGGGTTTTCACCTTTCATCCTGTGTACATTCCTGCAGCAGCACTCATGTCCCAGCGACGGTCTCCTCGCTTTCCGCCCCAGCAGTGAGGCTGGCTGCCACCCAGAGACAGACCTTGTCCTTCTGCCTGACTCCTGGTCACCGCTGCCCAGGTGCGGTTTGACACCCACAGCCAGTCCCAGGTGCGGCCATAGCCGCTGTTGCTCTCCGCAGGGCAGGAAGTCCATGACCTCGATGCTCAAGCAGGACATAAAATCCCACCCTGCTCTCCCTTCATTTTGGTACTCGTGTCAAATTTCAGAAACCCATGAACGTACGCATACCAAAATATCGCTGCCCTTTCTCTGTGAGCAAGTGTGCACACCAGCAGAAGGCACCGTAACCAGCAAAGACGGCAACACGGAGGGCCACGTGGGCCAGTCACAGCTAAGGGAGAGGCGGGCCCCGCTGGCCCTGACACCTGGGACAGCGGCCGGAGTGAGCAGGTCCGCCGCAGTGTGGCACCGACCAACTGCACCGCCACGCTGCTGCTCCTCATGTACAGCTAACTGCCCCTCACCCATGCTGGAAGGAGCCCGGCCCTGCTCACCAGATGATTCCCTGGAAATGTGACACCAGCTGTTTCCAGGACATGGAAGGGTGCAGTGACCTATCATCTGGGTAGGCACATGGTACACCTCAACCACTGCTCCCCTGCAGACTAGGCAATGATGAAACTCCATGAAGCTCGGCCTCACTCGAGTGTAGGTGGCAAGGCTGGGGACCCCACGGGACCTGCGGGCTGTTCCAGCGTCTGCTCTGGGGACTGGGGTCACACCAGCTGGGCACTTGCTGGGGATGGTGTGGGAAGGCGGGCTCTCCCTGTTGTACTTTCGATAAGCAGTGGGTATGCATGCTGTGCTCTCTAAATGAAAAATCCCCTTTAAACAGTCCCCAGGAGGTGTCCCACCTCTACACGGGTGCTGGGCTCACCAAGGAGGCCCCAGGGCTGCCCGGAGCCCTCACAGAGCCAAGTCCACCTGGCGCCAGGCTGGTTCCCGTCCCATTGCCAGTGCGGCTGTCTCAGGCCCCCCCTCTCCCCGACACTTGCCACAGCAACCACGCTCCTCCTCCTGCTTACCGGTACAACTGGAAGTCCTCTTCCGAGAAGATGGTTTTTATTTTATCCCCAAAATATCTGTGAAAAGATAAGAAACATTAGCTAATGAAACCATTTACTAATCTCTTGTTTCCTTTAAAATTAGTCTTTCCTCAAAAAACCAGCAAACCCTTGAAAATGAACCTATTCCAGGGCCAGGGATTTAGCTCAGTGGCACTGTGCCTACCTCACAAGGGCAAGGTCCTGTGTTCTATCCCTGTATCAAAAAATAAAAAATGAATCCATTCCATTATTTTTGAGCTGCTTAGCTCCCTCAATAATCCCTTCACAAGAGGGCGAGGAGCCAGGCATGTCTGCAATCCCAGCACTCCGGGAGGCTGAGACAGGAGGTTTCAAATTCAAACCCAGCCTGAGCAACTTAGTGACTTAGTGAGATCCTGTATAAAAAAAAAAAGTCTGGGCTGTAGCTCAGTGTGAAGGCTTGTACCACAACAACAACAACAACAAAAAAAATGCAGGGCTGGGCGTGGTGGTGCACGCCTGTGATCCCAGCACTCGGGAGGTAGAAGCAGAAGGATCGCTGTGAGTTCGAGACCAGCCTGGGCTACACAGTGAGTTCCAGGTCAGTCTCAACTACATAGTGAAACCCTGTCTCAAAAAAAACCAAAAAAAAAAAAGCTGGGCATGGTGGCACACGCCTGTAATCCCAGCACTCAGGAGGCTGAGACAGAAGGATCACTGTGAGTTTGAGACCAGCCTGGGCTACATAGTGAATTCCAGGTCAGTCTCAACTACATAGTGAAACCCTGTCTCAAAAAAAACCAAAAAAAAAAAAGCTGGGCATGGTGGCACACGCCTGTAATCCCCGCACTCAGGAGGCTGAGACAGAAGGATCACTGTGAGTTTGAGACCAGCCTGGGCTACATAGTGAATTCCAGGTCAGTCTCAACTACATAGTGAGACCCTGTCTCAAAAAACCAAAAAAAAAAAAAAAAAAAAAAAAAAAAAAAAAAAAATGCAGGGAGGGAAGGAATTTAGCAACAAAAAGAGGAGGATGACAGTGAGACAGTGACCAAGGCTGGGAAATCTTTTGGGGTTTTTCAGCCTTACAGACACCCCAAGTCTTCAGACCTCTCTGGCAGCCAGCCTGCAGCCCTCGGACCCTGCCCTTCCCGCCCCTCCCACCTTTTCCTGCAGCCCCATCTGAAGGGCCACAGCAGCCCTAAACCTGACACCAGATTCTCCTCTAAAGACCAAGGACAAGGACTCCGCCCTGGAACAGGCTCTGAGAAATCTGTCCTGGACCTGGAGCCCCATCCCTCAGCCTCTGGGAGGCCCAGCGTAAAACACAGCAGGCACTCACCAGCTGCTCCCCAGCCTGCCCCTCACCTGTACAGGTTCACAAAGTGCTTCCCAACAGACAGGGCCCCCGAGTGCAAGTCCAGGATGGACGCCTGGAAAAGACGTGTGGCGCCTAAGACAGGGTGATCATCACTTTCAAAGCCCCTGAAGCTAAACCCAAGTCCCAGAGGCCCCAGGTCTGCCCAAACCCAGCTGCTCTCTGATGCCTGAAGAAGAGTCCAGTGCTCTGCAGACACTGCACAGGCAGCCCCCAGATGCACCACGGCTCCTGCAGCAGCCACAGGCCTGCTCCTCCGGACTGCCTTTTCCTCCTTCCCTTCCTCCCTCCAGCCTCTGCTCTTTCCCCCTCTCCTTTCTGCCTCCCTCGGTTCTGCTAGGATCACCTGACAGGTGTTACATGCTAGGTGTGGAAAGCATGCAGCACAGTGGGTCTGACAGAGGCCCACCCAGGAAACCACCTCACAATCAGATAATAAACATGTCCGTCATGTCTCTGCAGCGAGCCTCCAGTCATGAGGGACCAGGGGCACTTTCTAGTTCGAGGCGGATGTATTGGAGGCAGACGGGGGCAGATAAACCATTCACGGCAGGTACCATGTGGACAACAGGCTGTTTGTTACACACGGGTAGGTGACAAGTGGGCTGAATCTGAAAGAAGATTCAGCATCGGGGGAGAACAAAGACTTAAAAAGGGAAGAACTGGGCCAGGGATGTAGCTCAGTGGTGTCACCTTCTGCTTACAAACACAAGGTCCCTGGTACCAGAAAAAAAAAAAAGGGCAGGGGAGAACTGCTAGGCATTGGTATGGCGTGAGGAGTCTGGGGGCAGAGAGAGAGAGTGGCCCCTGCTCCTCAGACTGCAGGGCGACAAGACGTCCCCGGAGTGGAAAGTGGTATAGTGGCTTTTTCCACAGTGCACAAGCTGCCAGCACACATGGGGGCAGTCACAGCTCCTCCCACCGGTGCCAGGCTAGTGGACGCTGACCAGACTAGGTCACGTCCCCAGGCGTGACAGTGGAGGGCCCACAGACTAGGCTATCCCCCTGCATCACCACTCTGGGGCGTGCTAATGCCGAGGGGAACAGCCACTACACTGGCCAGATCTCGGCACCCCAATCAGGTCCCATTCAGAGTTCAGGTGGACACACCCCTCACACAGCAGGTGACAACACCATGTCTGGGCAGCCTCTGGCTTCAGGTAACAGGGAGTCAGCACCTGCACAGTGCAACTCCACAGCTGTCATGGCCAGGACTTGTCCCGGGACCTCAGCGTGCTCCTGACCCCTCCCTCAGCTCCGTCCGACACCTCCCCTGGACCTGTGGTCAGGCAGGCTGTGACACACGAAGAGATGGTCGATGGGACAGCAAGGGCCCTGCACACACACCACCTCCCATCTGGACAGCAAAGGTGAAAGGCAGAGACAGGCAGAGCCAGGTTCCACTCACCCCTCCATCAGATCCACCCAGGGAGAATCCCTTCTCCGCCACTCTGTGGGGAAACAACCCTGAGTCAGAGCAGGGAACACAATCATCTGGAAGGTGCCTGGGCAGAACGCCCATCGGCATAAGCTACACTGGCTGCTCACTTCTGTGTGCAAACAAACGTGCAGACCAGAAGGCTCAGCTTTCACACACCATGTCGTGTTGACGCTTGTAACATGCACCTGGCTTTGAAGTGACCAACTCCTGACATCTACACCAAGCAGGGACTCCGCCAGCAGCCAGAAGTGTCAGACTGCTCCAGGTGGGTGAGGGCTTTGACACCCTCCGCTTAGGACAGGGAGACACCCAGGTCAGCCCAGCGAGGACCGCCCTGCTCAAGAACTAGCAGCTTTGACCCCAGCACCTAAGTAAAACACCATAACCCCATTTCTGGCGGGAGGGTGTTTGTTGTCAGAGGACTGTCAGAGAGGGCTCCTGCCTGAGGGAACCCCCTGAGGGCGAAACCAATTCCACACACTCAACCAGCAGTGTCTAACCGGTTGGTGGGAAAATCAAAGCTTTAAGATCTTGATTTTAAAATCTCACAAGATTGCTAGGTGTGGTGATGCCCACCTGTGATCCCAGCACTCTCTCAGGTCGAGGCAGGAGGATCACTGCAAGTTCAAGGCCAGCCTGGGCTACATAGTGAGCTCGAGGCCAGCCTGGACTGCATAGTGAGACCCTGTCTAAAAAACCAAAGTAAATAAAATAAAATAAAATCTCAACAGGGAAAAATGCAGCACCCACTGCATTCCAAGTGGGCACATGTGCACCTCGGCAAGGCTGGCAGAAGGACAAAAGCCACCAGCTTCAGAGTGGACACTGAAATGTCCTCTGGGGCTCTCGGCTGAGGCTGGGGAGCACGGCCCACACGATAGCCCAGCACCCAGGCTCCTGCAGAAGCGCAGGGGTCCTCAGGCCAGAGGAGGTCATGCCTCCAAAAGGTTCCGTCTGCAGGGACTTCTCAAGCCACCATATGGACGCCTTCCCAGGCCCTCAGCACATGGGGGACCCTCGTGGGACAGGGAGGCCCCAGCCCACCTTCCCCTCGCTGGCTTAAACCTGACCCACAGATGCCCAGGGCAAAACACTGAGCCTCAATACCTGCGGATGCGCTCTGCTTCCTCTCTGGAGATGACGACGTCGGTGACACCGCGGCCGCACTTCCTGGGTGTGCAGCCTACAGGGATGACAGTTGGGATGCTAGGCTTACTTCCAAAGCTCCATCCCAGGATCGTGGGGCTGCATGGCCCTTTCCCAGGATGGGGCTGGCCAGTGCGGCCAACACCCTGCTAGATGGAAACTCTATAGACAAGCAGCACAGCTCCTCACAGCCTTCTTCCCTGAGCCAGGCCCCAGGAAGCCACAGATGCCTCCAGACTCAGCGCCAACAGCAGTCTTTGGGAGCGTGGGCCACAGGACCAAGAGCTGTGAGCACTGCAGAAGGCCCACCTGGCACTCCAGAAGGGCTTGGAGCTCCAGCCACTGTCCTCCCAGGGCAGCACCCCCCCCCATTCTCCCTGCACCTAGGGACCTGCAGACACTGAGAGCAAGGAGCCTGAGAACCTCAGATGCGGACA